AGTTGGACCTATGTGCGGGAAGAAAGGTCTTGCTTTTCCTACAATTTTAAGCCCAGAAAAAATGATTCCTAACATCTGATGAGGATTCATGAGATGAGCATTATCCAACAGAAATATAATAAGAGCTACATATGTAATTCTAAATTTCCTTCTAGCTGCATTAAAAATGTAAAAAGGTGAAATTTAATAATATATTTTATTTAACCCAATATATCCAAATAGTATAATTTCAATATGTAATTAACATAAAAACAGAGTTGGTTTTTTTAGGGGGGTTACTAAGTCTGAAATCCAGTGCATATCTTACACTTACAGTACATGTCAATCCAGACTAGTCACATTTCAGGTGCTCAATAGCCACAAGTGGCTCGTTTTAGACACAGCCGCTTTAGGCTACTCTTTTGCTTGAGTCAATATGATCAGAATCCTAATGTCGATTTGTCTGTGGTTGAAAAAAAAATCCTTTCTGAGTTACTTATCCAGAAAGGGATAGCTTTGTATTGAGTCATCTAACTCTCTTACCTCTTTGTGACCTCACTCTGGTACAACATAATTATAGGCGCATTCTAAAGGGATGATCCAATAGTGGTGGCTTGCTTACTTGGAACTGATTCTCTGACCTGCCTTTTACAGAGAGAGCCCCTATTGAATGCAGCTAATCAGCCCAGCACATTGACATTGGTTAGTGGAAGGGAAAACATAAAGTTTGAGTAATGTGAAAAGACCATATTAATAGTTTTAAAAGGATATGACAATCAATGAAGGGGGCAGCCATTTTGGAAGGTAGGGAAAAAAGATAATTTAAGTACTAAAAAAAAAAACTAAGCTCTTGACAGTGGCTGATGAGCTAAGAAACTGCTTTGATATTTCCCATTACTCATGTCCACAGAGCGATCATTATTTTCCCCTATGTGAGACCCGAGCTGTCCCATAATACAGGCACATTGAAGGCACATATGGTAGCATCTCAATAAAGGTCCCTGAACACGTGACTATGTTTATGAAAAAGAATTAACAAAAGAAGAAGAAGGAGAAAGAAAAGAAGAGGCCAAGATTTCCTAATAAGCTGAGTGGAGATGAATGTGTCATGCACTTCTTCAGGGAGACTGTAGTTTAGGGAAGGAAAAATGCAGTAACACGATGAAAGATTAGACCTTGATTGTATATAGAAAATTATCATAGTATGCCTCCTCACCATATGCTCATTCCATGGTAAGTTTATATGCCAAAGTGAAATAAGAAAGTAAGATGCATGACATTTGGGTTTTTGGAAAGAATAATAATAAATAAATGAACAAAGAAAATAGAAACAGACTCATAGATACAGAGATCAATGGTTGCCCAGAGGTGAGGAAGGTGAAGGGGCTAGGTGAAAAAGCTGAAGGAATTAAGAAGTACAAATTAGTAGCTGCAAAATGGTCACAAGGATGTAACGTACAGCTTAGAGCAAAGAGTCAGTACTATTTTAATGACTATGTATGGTCCCAGGTGGGTACTGGAAATATTGGAAGGTTCCCTTTATAACATATATGATTATCCAACCACTACTCTGTACACTGAAATTAATACAAAATTATATTGAATGTATTGTAACTGAAAAATAAAGTTAGAAATGAATAATAAAAGAAACCTGCATGATAAAAAAAATTCCCAAACAACCACATCCAAAGATTAGTCATTTTCAAAGTTCAATTATCACACACACTTATTTGCCTTATTGTTTTGGAATGCTATTCTGCAAATGTATCAGATCTTTTTAATCTCAGGTCCCTATTTTTGATTCCCTTGCTTATGTAAGAGTTACTCACCCAAAGTCTGTTTTGCTGATGGGTTATGAACTCCTCGATTATTTGTTGTTGAAGCTTTCTTTTGATTATGAGAATCTAGGAGTCATGATGTAGTGTTGCTATGGTAATGAATATGTACAAATAGAAGATTAAGGGTGGGGGGAGGTTAAATCTTGTTACACATTAGCATGTAAATTTCTTTTCAGCGAAATAAAAAAGTCTCAAGTGTACATTTTTCCATGTTATATATGCAAAATATGAAAGATGTTATAATGTTATATCACATCTTGAACCATGCATTTGTATTGTTTACATTAAATAACAGAAGTTAGTCAATATACTCCAAAGAGTATTTTCTTAATAATATTTTATTTAAAATATATTGGATTAAGATTGAGTTAATTGCCCTAACCGGTTTGGCTCAGTGGATAGAGTGTCGGCCTGCGGACTGAAGGGTCCCAGGTTCGATTCTGGTCAGGGGCATGTAGCTTGGTTGCGGGCACATCCCCAGTAGGAGGTGTGCAGGAGGCAGCTGATCGATGTTTCTCTCTCATCGATGTTTCTAACTCTCTATCCTTCTCTCTTCCTCTCTGTAAAAAATCAATAAAATATATTTTTTTAAAAAAAGATTGAGTTAATTTCCATGTACATATGTGTGTATGTATAAATAAGTTATACTTTTAAGTAAAAAATGGGACATGTTGTAAGGATGAAGATCTTTTCTTGGTTGCCGTAAAGGTGGCCTTAAGGACTGAAGAAGATAGAAATATTTATAATTGCCCGAGAATGTCCTTTATTTTCCAAGCTTCTGTATTATTGATATTGGAAGAAGAACATGCACAAGAGGACAGAGGGAAATGGTTTTTGAAGACCTACATTAAAATACTCCTACAAATTAAGAACTTGGATTTTTGACATATTAACCTTTTGTTGTTGTGTCACAGAATTTTGCACCCAGAATTCATGATTCTTTCATTGGCTGGCCATATACCAACTGTCAAGGCACTTAACAATTCTTTTGGTGTTTTATACTGTGCTTAAGACAAAGATCTTTGCTACCTGATGAGGATTCATTAGACCAGCACTGCCCAATTGAGATATTACATAAACCACATATGTAATTTAAATTTTTCTAATAGCCACATTAAAAAATAAAAAGAAATAGGTGAAATTCATTTAATAATATACATTATTTAACCCAATATGTCCAAAATATTTTTATTCAACAAGTAAAATATATAAATTATTAATGATATATTTTACATTCTAATTTTGTATTATATTTTTAAATTCCAGCATGTATTTCATACTTATAGCACATGTCAGTTTGAACTAACATGTTTCCAGTGCTCACTATCCACATGTGGCTACTGAAGACCACACCGTGTGGCTAGCAGATTACCATAGGCACAATGCACCATTAGACTAAGAGGAAAGTGTTGAATTTGTTAAACTATTGAAGTTTTTCAACACCAGAATTCTCTGGAAAAGAACCTTGCTTCCTTGGAAGATCAGGGCTTTCCAACTTGCAGGGATGTTACTATTTTCAAGAGACAAAAGAAATATGTGGGGAGTAAATTCCTGACATTGGTGTTTACTGATGCCTTATGACTTGGCACAGTGGCCACATTCACTACCCTGTTAATCCCTGTCATGGGTCTGAGAAATAGAGGGTGGAGGGGGTGCAAGTTCCATTTACTTTTGAGGAAGCAGGCCCATAGAGGACTCTACCTCCAGCTCCTTCAGCTCCAAATCTCTCCAGCCAACCATAGATTACCATGTAGGGTACAGTTACCAAATAATGAGCAAGCCAAGTCAGACAAAACATGTGTCCTAGCAATTTGTTGCCTTTTTTTTTAAAAGCATGTGTTTTGTGGGTGTCTGAAAGGGCTCAGGATTGTCCCACATCTTTTTTTTTTTTTTTTTTCTGTTTACTTGGATCCAGAATAAAATGAGAACAAAGTCTTTTTATGCTTGGGAATGTTTTGATTCAGCCAAGGTGGTGGTGGTTGAAATCCTCAGGACTGTCACCATCATGCATCAAAGCTCAACAGTCATCCCCCCCCCCCCTACCCCCAGCCCCACCCCAGCCCCGCACTGCGGGGTCCTTGGGTGGTAAAGTCAGTTGTATATATCACTCCACCATAGGTCTTTCATAGACCTCAGAAAGACCACTTGGTTATTTCCAGCTGAGCTAGGTGAAGAAGCAAGTAATCTCTCTTACTCAAGGCAACTCATTTACATGACAATCACTTTTCAAGGTGCCCCATAACAGTAGAAATAACACCGGTACTGGATTCTTGGCTTTTGGTTGTTGTTGTTGAGGTTAAAATACTACCATTCACGTCAATGTACGCGTAGGATTGAATTTAGGCTAATTGCTATTAATTGGTAACGTTGCCTTTGTATTTTCCATCACAATCCACATGGGGAGCACACCCATTACATAATAAGCTCCAGGGATTTAAACAGCACTTAAACAAGTTTCTAATATATTACTTTAAATCGTCCTTCACCTCCCCTTAAACCTTGTATATGATGTCCCCCCCCCCCCCCCAATTTTTAATTGCTGAAAACTGTAGCTGCCGGAGATATATTCCATAGGATGATTCCTCACCCTCATCATCTGGCGCAAGAGGGTCTAGCTTGAGTCGCCATTTCATACAGGGGAGGGCCGCAGGAAATCATCCCGCAAGAGCTGAAGTTTGTGAAACTAAAGCAAAGGGTAGCCGATGCAGTCGAATAATTGGTTATTTCCGGGGCTGAACAGAGAGGGCGCCCTTCCACAGACCTGTGCACAGCCCGCACCGGTGGTGGGACAGGCCCGGCGGGAATGCATGGGGGTGTCTCAGGCTCAGTCTAGTTGGAAAACCCGTAGGGCACCGGACTACAAACAAACGCCAAGAGACCTGGACGGGTGGGTCTTCTGTAGCGACCTGCGGAGCGGACCACCAGAAAGCAATTGCTGCAGGGCTTAAGTTTCCTAAAGTCTTAGCAGGGCTTTCCCTGCCGTCCTGACTCCCACCTCCAGGCCAGGGGGCTCCACGCCACCCCACTCCCTTGCTTCCCTCCAGCTCTGGGCGGCCTCTGCCAGCCGGCCCGACAGCGCCAGGCCCCAGGCGGTTCCGAGGGCGCAGGGGGCGGAGGCGCGGCGGGGGCGGGCCCTGGCACCCTCCTCCCCCCACCCCGCTCCCCTCCAGCGCGTCCCTGGGGTCAGTGGCAGGAGCGCGGCGCACCGCCAGCCACGAGGGGCGTGAGATGGGGGAGGCAGAGGAGGGGTGCGCCCTCACGGATTAGAGCCAACCGCGCACTTCCGAAGGCTGCGGGGCTGCGCTTCCCTCCCGCGCCCCGGGAACTTCAAAGCGGCGGGCGCTGCCCCGGCCGCCAGGTCCGCTCTGGGGCCTCGCAGCCCCGCGCGGCCGCCGGGTGGCCATGACCCGAGCGCTCGGCGCTGCGCTCCGCCAGGCTCTGCTGCTCGCCGCGGCCGCCGCGCTCTCCGCAGGTAGGACGGGCGCGGCTGCCCCGCGCTCACGTGGGGGTTGGGGGGGGGGTAGGGGGGAGTCGGGGATCGTCCGCGGGCGGGCGCGGTAGTTGAAGAAGGTGCTTGGAGCAAACTGACCTTCCACGGGGCGGAATGGGAAGCGCCTGTTGGATCGAAGGGGCGCGGGCACCTGACGCCTGGCAGGCGTAGGGGCAGACAGGTGTGTTGGGGACGAAGCCACCGGGGGAAGGGGAAAAGCGATAGGGACCGTGTGGGGGTTTGGGTAGTGGGTGAGGTAGGTGACAGATCTGGTGGCAGTTCGCAGCGGAGGAGAGTGTGTTGCTGGGTGTGCGCAGGGCTGGGAGCTGAGTGGCACCAGGAGTTCGCCCTGCAAGTGCCTGGGGGACGCTCTGTGCTGAGCTCCGCGCGGAGCCGAGCCAGGGGGTGGGAGGCTGCGGAGAGGTGGGGGCGATTCAGACCGAGTTTGAGGAGGCCAGGGATACCTCAGAAGCCGCTGGTGCCAAGCTATGTAGGCGGGAGTGGGAGCTTAGATCTGCGTGGTTTGCAACACACGTTGCTTTCGAGGTACGATCTTTACCAAGAGTTGCAGGGGAAAAAATTCTGGCAAGCGTCCCAGCGTTTATAACAGGTCTGTTTCTTGATAGGCTAAGTAGCCCGAGCTAGAAACCAAACGTTTCTTGATAATGTTTACTAGAAACTGGGGCAAATGCATCTTTGGTAAAAGCGAAGCGTGCTGAGATGAAAAACACATTTAATTCAGAAACTGTTTTCATTATAACATTATCCTGGGTTATGGAGAGCAGGAGCAGGATTCCTTGCTAACTCATTCTTGAAACATTTCAGTCAGACATTTAAGACATTTGCACATAAAAACCTGGTGTATTTTGGTAGAACTGCACTTGGCCCGGAGCTGACTTTGATGCGTTTTTGTTTTCCCAGATGACAATGTGTTTGACGTTAATAGCGATACTCCAGGGTGGGTAGTTTTCCTCTTAGTGACAATTCAGGAGAATGTTGTGAGTAGTATGATTGCTGCATGCACAGATTTCCGTGTTTCAGATGGTCTGGGAGAAACACTACATGCATTTAAGTGAAATTCTGATTATTGGGAGGGATTAATTAGGAAAGCAGTTACCCAGAGGTTATCAGGAAAATGATGAGATAAAGTGAAATATTTTCATTCAGAGGTAGTAAAATCATAAATAGGGAAAAAACTGACTGCAGAGTCTTTATAAGAAATGGGTGGGAACTCTGCTAACTTGGAAAGAATATTCAAAGTACTGGTAGAATTTACAAAAAAAAATATAGTCTTCCAGATATTTTGACTAGACACCTGTGAAATTGCCTCCGCAGGCTGTCCATTCAGCCTTATTTATTTGGGGAGCTAATAGCTTAGCTGCAGAGGTTTAAAAAAGACTCAATTATCTTTTTATATCTCTTGAAAGGTATGTTTTATTCTATGACAGAATCTTTTAGAGAATTTCAGAGACCCTGGGTATAGCAGCATGGCAAAACAAGCCCTGCTATGTTCTGAAAAAGGAATGGAAACTTTTGACATTGAAATGTACAAAATAGAAAAAAAAAGAATATCCATTCAAATTTGATTGTTTCCTCAAAACCTGAAGGCTAAGAAAAATGCCTGATGTGGAGATAATGTGTCAATATAGTAGAAAGGTGCTTACCAAACTTGAACTTTACAATGAACTTTTGAACATAAATCATTTTCAAATCTCTTAAAGAAACTTTATCCTTCTTTGTATCCCACAGAAAAAAATGTCTGTTGCTATTTACATTTTTGATTCTTTATATTTGTGCAAATCTTTGATTATTTGGTAGGGGGATTCAAGGTTATTTATTTATTTATTTATTTAGTCGTTGTTAATCATCACCCGAGGATATTTTTTCATTGATTTTTAGGGTGAGCGGGAGAGGGAAAGACAGAGAGAGAAGAGTCAGTGTGAGAGAAACACATTGATTGGTTGCCTCTTGCAGGAGCCCTCACCAGTGCTCCTGCTGGGGAGGAGCTTGCAACCAAGGTATGTGCTCTTGACCGCAATCAAACCCGGGACCCTTTGGTCCACAGACCGACACTCTATCTGCTGAGCCAAACCAGCTAGGGCTTATTTATTTATTTAACCTTCTAAGTTGTTTTTCTCATGTGGTTACCTGGTCACTTTTACAAATTACATTGTTAATCATATTGGCCATTTTTGAAAATGTACATGCCATTATTGGCATGTTATATGAGAAGTTGCTATTGACAAGATGACATAGCAAAACTGCATGACAGAAAACGCCACCTTCCAGTTTGGCTCTGCTGAGCACCAGATCTAGGACCTTAAATATCTAATGACATTGATAAACCAATAAAACGCCTTTTGCTTTGGCTGTTCTTTGCAGCAGCTCTGTCACCTCAGATGTGTCATGCATCAACAGCATAATAGAAACTATTGCTCTTGATGAGAATCTCAGTGGGTAATCACTGATGAGAATTTAGAGAAAATATTTATTGGTCCAGACTGGCTAAAAACTAGGCTCCTCTGAGTTACTCTCATTATCTAGTTACTGGGTTTCTTGATGTTTCATAAGACAGCTCTGAGATAACCTCCCAACAGTTATCCTAGGTACCAAACAAAGAATTGGCAGAAAATGTCTCAAATTATAAGTTGTGCTTTGGATATTACATAGATTCATACCTTCTCCACTAATTTTATGGAATTCCTTCGTCTTCTGGTTGGGAAAGGATTACTAAACTGAAAACTGTTTCATTTAATAACCAGGGTGGGGTTGACTTTTCAGATAGTGAGATTCTTACCACACCCCCCCCCCCACACACACACACACACCCGCTCCTCACTACCACCATACACTTCCCACTATACATTTTAAGCTTTGCTGGATTTGAAAGTGAACGCTTTGGGTTGACTGGATTTATAAATGCAAAAGGTATTGTCACCTTTGCCCTTCTTTAAGCACAATCATTTGTTGGTTGATGGACACAAATGTGGCAAGAGGCTCTCTGTTTCCAAGGAACAAACTTCTCTAGCCCAGAAGAAACTCTGTGCAGAAGTCCTTGGGGGCATATTTCTTCACTGACTATAATGCTTCAACCCGTTTTCTAGCCTCAGATGTACGAAGTATAAAACAAAGAGTCCCCTGATTCACTATAATCATAGAAAAATAAAGGATTTGTGGTGTGAGAGAGAGAGGAAGAAAAGATGACACCAAATTTTTGACCCAAGCAATGGAAGAATAGACCCTTACGTGGGTTGAGGCCTGGAGACAAGGGGACAGTGGCAGATTTGAAGCCCAGTTTTGGTTATGTTGAGTTTAAAGTGCTTATTAGACATTGAAGTGGAGATATCAAGTATGTAATTGGTTTTATGCACCTAAAGTTTAGGTTATAAGACTGGTCAGAAGATAAAAAATATGGAGCTAAGGGCCCTTATAGATAATCTTAAAAGATACATTAAATAGTCACAGGTTTAGCAATCATAGAACACCCAGTTAAATTGAATTTCAGATAAACAACAGGTTTTTGATTACAAATATGTTCCAAATGTCACATGGTATATACTTATATTCAAAATTAATTGCTGCTTAATTCTACTTTAATTGGTGTTTTGTATTTTTATCTGGCAACCCAACATTAAAGAGATATTGTGGTGAGATGACCAGCTTCTGATACATGTATTTCCAGCTCTTGCATCAGAAAGAGGAGTATAGACCTATTTCTAGTCCTCATCTCTTAAAACTGCTGTTCTAGCTCTGTTGCTGTCCCATATGCATCTCTGAATGGGTCACTACCAGCTCTTTGCACTATTTCCGCTGCCACTGAGTCAACAGGGAGGGATACCCAGCCTTTCCTAACCTTACATGAGTAGCTTATTAGGAAAGGATGCGTGAAAAAGATAAGAATAACTCTCTAGACTCCCTGCAAATGATTGTTAGTGAAAGAAGTTGGTTTTGCCACCATTTATTGTCTTTTGAGTGTGATTGTTATTTTCAAATGCATTTTTAGAATACTTTCCTTTTTTTTTTTTAAAATATATTTTATTGATCTTTTACAGAGAGGAAGGGAGAGAGATAGTTAGAAACATCGATGAGAGAGAAACATCGATCAGCTGCCTCCTGCACATCTCCTACTGGGGATGTGCCCACAACCCAGGTACATGCCCTTGACCGGAATCGAACCTGGGACCTCTCAGTCCGCAGGCCGACGCTCTATCCACTGAGCCAAACCGGTTTCGGCGAATACTTTCCTTTTGAATCAACATTTATATGTTTCTCCTATAGAGGAGCTGAGGTCCAGTTTGTTGACTTTTTCTAGGCAGTGCTCGTATCACATATTGTAAATAAGAGAAGGTTAAGAGGAGAGGTGAATGGATAGAGTCAGGGCTTGGAAGGGCTCGAGCCCCACAGGACCTGATAATCAGACACAGTTCGAGGGTTAAGAGCATGTTCCTAAGAGAGCGATTGCAAGCCCTTTGGGAGAAGGGCAGGGATATGTAAATGTCAGCCAGAGGCTGTTTAGCTCCCGCTATAGCTATGTCTTGAGCTGCTACCAAATGACTGGTATTGGCTTTATTTGGCGATTTGTAGGGGAAAGTGTCCTTTAAATGAATAACTGTAGGTCCGGGTCATTAAAAATCTCAAACAGATATGTTCAAATGTAAAGGGTTTATTTTAATAAACATTTAAAATGAGGGCTAATTTTTAAGTATAAATAGAAAAAAGAACTAAAAAGGGGTGGGAAAATGGAAAATTCTAAGAACAAAGATTATACTATGTATCATTCCTTATCATTTATATATGTGAATTTTTTTCTGAATTTTCCATTGCTTTGGTCTTCTGTGTCTTAAATTTTTCCCAGCTGATATTCAAAATCTCAAGGTTTCTTTTTACATTGCTTAAGAAATTTGGATAATATTAGGATATGTTCATAAGTGATATAGAAATGCTACTTTTGCTAAGGAACCTAGGAATACTTAGTTACGACC